TATCTTGTTCATTGGCGCGGATATGATATTAGTGAACGCACATGGGAGCCATCCAGGAATCTAGCAAATGCATCAACTAAAGTCAAAGTTTTTCATCAACGACATCCATCAAAACCAAGATGAAAATCTCTCTTATAAAAGAGACAAGATTGAGGCAAGATAACATTCAATTTCCTATCCTTGTTTGTAACTTCTTTGCATTTGTGACGCTAATTAGATGGAGAGCCAACAACCAGCAGATTCAACTCAAGAACCTTCGTTTGCTGACCTGTCGGACGAGACATTACGATTGTCACAACCTTCAAGACGACGCAATCGAGATGAAGATCTTCAAGAACGACATGTTCTTCCTCGAACAGATGGTGAGATACAACGCGTTTGGTATCACGATTTGGGAAGGGACTCCTGATGTTTGGTGATTTTGCTAGACATAGGAACAACTCCTGATGGTGTTCCGAATATTCTATTCGAAGGAAGTTATGAAGGCCTCAATAATGATCAAATAACTGGGTGGTCTTCCCGCCCTGGTATGGGACACTACCGATGGTTGAGAGGCCCTATCAATCATCTTCGAAGAGAACAGAGATCAGAGTATGTGGCGAATACAATTCGTCGCATCATAGATTTCCTCAACATATGATGACCGCTCCTCGTGGAACTCGTCTCTAGAAGGGGGGGTAATGTCACGGCCATAATCATGTAAGCTAATAATTACATATAGAAATAGGTAGAAGTAAGTAAAAGTAGATAAAAGTAAGTTAATTATATAATATTTAATATAGAAGCTTCCTAGAAACTTCCTAAACGCTACTTTGACTTCATAGGTGTCTTTAATTGACTTTTTGGATTAGAAACGTGGTCAACAAGTTGGCCATGTGCCACACATGTTGTTAGCTTGAAGATCAAGCTAACTATGTGGCCCACACGTAGAAAAACTTGCCTTGTAAGTCAAGGCATGTGTCCTACAAAGTCAACACATATTGGAGGTCCTATAGAACGTCGCCACGTAGCCCCTAGTTAGATAGTATATATAGAGACAAGAGTGAAGGCTTCTTCACTCTTGTCAACTCCTTTCTTGCTTCTAGTCCAGGTTCAAGAGTCTTTAGTTTCTTGTCTTGTGGCAATAGCCATTCCAGTTTCCTTTTAATATACCTACTTGTTTATATTTTGACTTATTATATCGAGATAGCCTTTTGGTGTATATTTTTCCTCATCGAGTCTTTGTCCTTGACACTCTTGTATTTGTAAACTCGATTTTGTTTCTAATAGAGACTTTAAGATCTTAAAGCTGTCTAAGACCTTAAATTTTTCTTATATAAAACATATATTTATTTTTTTAATCATATAGAAAAAAATAAATAAATAAACCTTATGTCTCTTCATTTAATATAATTATTATAGATCGATTAAATTTATTTTTTATAAAATTAATACCTTTGGTTGTATAAAAACTAATTATGGTTTCAATAAAATTGAAGTTTTTTTTACTACAAATATATCTTTTGAATAATTTAAACTTCATACTTTACTTTAAATTAAAAAGAATAAAATAAAAAGAATAATTATATTATTTTTTAATAATCGCTTAAAAATTAAAATTTTAAAATAATTAAATTCTTGATTGTCAATGTTTAGGCATATTTTTATTTATTTATTTATACCTTTAACATGAGTGTAATTTTTTTCTTTTTTTTCTTTCAGTTCAAAACTTTAATAATAAATTTAAATTTTACATCTTTGATGATTATTTTATTTTATTCTATAAAATAATTTCTACTATAAAACTAAATCTATAACTTTAATGAGTTATTGTTTTAGCAAATAAAACTTTCTTGGCCAGTTTTTAAAAATAATAAATATTTTATACATCTTTTTGAATATTTCTTAAAAAATAGAAACTTACCTTATTTATTTCTTTAATGACATATTTATTATTATTTCATAAATAAATCTTAAATCTAAATAATAGATTTTTATAACTCTAAATCTAATTTTGACTTTTAATCATGAGACAAATATCAAATTAATTTGTATACCATTCTTTATCAATTGTAATTTTAATAAATGCAAGTGTAAAGAAAATAATATTATTTTAATCATTTATATTTTTTATATTAGCTTGTTGCTTATAAAACTTCTTTTTACTTCTTTGAAATTATGATATTTTCTTCAATACAACATTCTATTGTAACTTTTATTTTTGGCAATATTATCATTTAGTATTATTTTTTAATGTAAAAGATTATTATTTTTATAATTATAGGAATTTTTTTTATTTACTCCTAATGCCACTCCTAAGATTATTTTAACATTTTTGTTGTGACACCATTGTTGTAATAGTTAAGGCATGACTATTTATGATACTAATTAGATTAGAGATCATGTTTCTAATGTCACTACTAAAATGCAATAGAATTTAGAAAGAAAATTATTTAGTATGATAACAATAATTTTGTCAATTTTTTTATTAAAAAAATTTGGTCAATCATTCCATTTAGTTTATGTTAATGTTATCAACTTCTTTTATTTGTACAATCGAACTCTTGTAAATCAAGTATAATAGACTCAAAGTATTTTTTATCTCATGTGTTACTTTAAGATCCTTATATTAGATCTTTGTGCTTTATGCCTTACTTGCAAGAAATTTTTTAGAAATACTCAGATGTAAATAAATTGCAATTAATGTCTTGAAGTCAATATTATTATAATTCCTTAAGTCTATTAGATATACAATTAATTTCACAAGAGTTTGTATATTTCACAAACAATCTTTTACATATCCTTAAGAAATTAAATATATATATATATATATATATATGTTTTTTTATACAAAAACATATTTTGTAGAATTTTTAAAAAAAATCATATTCTAATAACATTTCAATTTTAGAATTAAACTACAAAAAATAGAATAATTAAAGGATAATTAAATAAATTTAAAATTTTATTAATTATATTTACATATAAGATTTAGAAATGATTTAACATCTAATCATAAATAATAATAACTTAAAAAAAATATGAAAGATTTATATATTTATATTTCATTATAAATTCTTTTAAAAACTTCTAATATAAAATTTTAAACATTGTTGTTTTTAAAGATTTACAGAAAATAATAAAAACATATCAAAAAATAAGAAAATATTTAAAAAAACTTTAAAAATATTAATTTAAATTATTTCAAATTTTCTATATTATGCTAGTTATAAAAAAATCTAATAAACATATTTGGTCTTATTGTTATTGTTGTTGCTTGTTTCTTCTATTAATATTGACATAATAAAAAAAATTAAAATATAAATTTAATGTATGTTTATATATATATATATATATATATATATATATAAGGTCTTCTATAATTCTTACCTATTATTTGATATGTGATCAATTTTGCCTTCCTTATGTAGTATCAAAGATATTATTATCTTTTGCTCTTATCTTACTTGAGGTTTAAATTTTATTTCGCTAATGTAAAAAAAATATATAATTTTATTAAAGTAATATATAAAAAATTAATAATTTCATATGGTTGATCAAAAATTCAAGTTATATAAAAACAAATCTTTAAAATTACTCAAATCTATCAAAGGCTAAATTCAAAGGTTTAAATTTTAACACCATGTATTATAGCATGAAAGAAATATACTTCTAAGATTGAAATTTAAAGATGTAAATTATGTGTGAACTTACAAACCAACTAAAGAGTATTAAAAAAACAAACATTTTAATTTAAACCTTTAATTTTTAATTTAGGTTCTCGTAATACAATTCTATAGTCTAATAATATGGACTTTGTAATGCAAATGCACCAATGATTACCCACGTTGTTAAGGACTATTTAACATATAGACACATTTCTTCTTGGGCCACATGATATCTTGGTTGGAGGTTACACTCATGATATGAGTCATCAATTAGCAAAATAGTATCAACTGTCTACATAACTAATAGTGTAATTTCTAATAAGAATTACATAAGCATATAAATACTCTTTTAACAAAATTCTATAGAATTTAAAATTTTCATGCACCGTTGTTCGAGGCCAATGGTAAGTACGCTGCAAGCTCGGTTTGTAGAGGGGTTTTGTTACAGGAGAAGAGTTTTAGCATTGAAGCCTGTGAGGGAGAGCTAAATGGAGGTCATTCTTCGATGTGGAACAGATCATGGAGAGTACGCTCATCTTGTTAGTTTTGGGAAAAATTCTCTGCTTCGTTCTTACACGTTCGTGGATCCCATTGTTATCAACTTCATGGGTTTTTGAAGGATTCAACCCCGTGAGCTTAGAGCATTCAGGGTTTGGCCACTGCAGGATTCAATTGCTGCTAATCCTCGAAGGGGCTTGAGGGTTCGTCGCCCACGATAAGCAGCGAAATTGTAATAGTACTCGGATTCAATCGTAGTAGGGTATTAAGCACTACGTTGATTGATTTGAATTAGAGGAAGGGTTTATGGTCTAAGCCGATCCTTAGTCCTCGAGAATCCCCTCATTCTCACCCATCAAAGTGATACAGGATGGTGTGTGTTTTTCCCTGTGGATGCATACACCTGATGACATAATCACCTAAGAAACAATCTCACATAGGGTTCTTCCAGTCTGTTGGTTAATTATCAACTGTTGCCATTTTCGTGTTTCTACATGTATTTTGATCTCGAGTAGCAGTAGACATTGTGAGCGAAGAAGCTAATGCCTGAGTGAATTAGACATTTTCATCTTCCTTTAGCAACTACCAATCTACATCTCAACCTCTGAACTTGGTTAAATTGTAAAATTTTACTTTTTTATGTATCAATTATGCTAAAAGGATAAAGTAACAAATATTATCAGCTAAACGAGGAATATTAGTCAAGGGGTGTAAATTTTGCGGGGCACCTCTGTACATGCAAATTTTCAATCCGTGTTGATGCTTCAATACCCATGAAGCTCCGAGAGAAAAAAAAATAAAGAAGAGGGTGTGGAATGAGGAGGAAGAAACAGACCCATACTTGACAGCTTAAAGTTATCATCGAATCAGGTGGTGCCTGCCATGAACAAACACCTTTGTTTCCGGATTTTTTTATTTCATGTAATGTTCCTTTCGAGGAACTGAAGTGTGGACTACTTACAGATCAGCCTCACTCTGTCTGGATGAGAGCCAGATATGAAAAAAGATACTGAAAGAGGAAATGAAGTGACCCAAATAAAAAATACAATGGCATGAATGCCTAGTAATTGGTGTCCTCGCTCTGCTCTCGGCATGTCTGGATTGAATGTGTTTCATATACTCACATTTTAATGTGCTCGGGTGTTTGCTACCAACCAATAATTTCCTTGACCACCTAGAACAAAGCTTAAGTTCCAGAAACCATGAAGAAACTAGTAATTGGTGCAAGCAGGTGGACTGGTCTGTAATTTTACCCTCTGTTTTAGAGTCGTATATTACATTAGATGGGCACCGATTAGTAGAAATTAGATCATTTTTCTGCCTGAGCATTTTCATTTTTTTTTTTTTTTTTTTTTTAAAAGTTCCTACCATATGAATTGTTACGATAATGTACACTAGATAAGTACAAGAGAATCTCTAGGAAGCTCTGAAGTTTTCATATAGAACTAAACTTGTGTGGTCGAGCAGTACCTTCGGTGGCTTTTTTTGCTGAACCAAATCTGTGTGATCGAGTACCACCTTCTATTGCTGATGCTTCTTTGTAACCAAAGAAGCGTTGATCCTTTCTCGAATGTGCTTGAAGCTATGTTTTCTCCTCATTTCATTTTTCATGGATGGACTCACCTGCGTTGCATACTCTGGCAGTGGTGCGGGAACCTAACACATGAATTATAACATGAACAAAAAATCAGGAATGTCGCACTGAGAAGTGATGAGGTCAAAGTAACCCCTACATAATCTGGCATCCAGCTCTGCAAGTTAGTGCAACCTTACACCAAATTAGATTGCCCTATCAGCGGGATGAAGTCTTTATAGGCATATTTCTTAGACGACTTCCTTTCGTCTCAAGCGATCCCCCAAAGGACCACCTCACTTACCTTACTAGAACGCAATTTTCAGTTCGACCATGGCAGTGTCATACTCTAAGCAGTTAAAGAGGTACATGGAGGTTACCAGTGCTAGTTCGGGATAAACTTCATTGAGTCTTTCGTTCGTCTTTTCGTTACGAAGACTCTTTACACTTTCGAACATGTCCGAGGTATTATCGACACTGCGGAAATGAATAAGGCTCTTCGATAATGCTCCATCCTCTTTCCTGGAATACACATTTTGAACAAGCTCGGCAGTATGTTTCGCCCGCACAGGCTGCTCTTCATTTGTACGATTGTCATTGTGTACATCAATATGTGTCATTTCTACACTTTTTGAGGTATTTTTGGTCGATTCTAAATCCGTTGCCAACCCATTTTCGTCATGCATTCTCTTGCCTGCAGCTTCCGCCTCGGAACTTTCATTGATGACTTTATCTCTTAGGCAGGCTGCCTCTGTTCGTGCCTTTACAGTTGGTAAAGTCGAAGTTATATCTTCAGGTCCCTGAAACAGTTCTCCAGTTGCCAAGTCCTCTGTCACCCCCCTCAGCTCTTCTGTATCGTTTTCTTTAGATGGAGAATTTTCAACAGGAGGAACCTGTATCAGAAAATTCCAACATCGAATTCTAATTAGACCACACGAGCATTCTGAAAGCTGTGCATTTTCGAATAGCCAAAAATTACAGAAGGGTACAAACAAATCCTACACAATGAAATTTCTAATAAGTTGTTGCAGTTCTGGTACCTTAAGTTTCTTATCATTGGTAGAAACATCTTGGGGGTTCTCATTCTCTTGCAATTGACTGCAATAATTCTTATACAAAGAGAGCCTCATATTCTCGGAATCTTCTCGGTGGTCGCACTCCGTACATTTTGCCCCAAATTGACTGGAAGATAATCGCCTTGATGAGAAAGCTTTCTCAAGGTACATACTATGCTGAAAAGCATTAATAAAAAAAACCACAAGCAAATCGAGCATTTGTCAGTTCATGGATGTATGACATAGACGAACTCTTACTTCAATTGCATCCCATTTCTCCTGACATAGAATTCATTTCAAAATTTCGACAATGGACATTTTTGTAATATGATGCGAAGCCCAGAGTCCCTCAGTTCCTCGTATTAGACATGGCTTCTTGAAGTGAAGTTACACGAGCTGAAAGAAAACTCCGATTGAATGCTAGCGAAAAAAATTCCTCTTCTTCACTACCTCCCAATTTGCGGTCATCATCAATCCTTTAAGAAGCTAAGACAAGATTATCATCGAATAATAAGAGTAGGAAATCAAAATATGGTTGGGCATTTGAGGTTTACTTCAGTAAACCTAAAGTAATGGAAAATTAAGATCACAAATGAGCTCGTTATTCTCATATTATTACCTGGCCGATTCGTATTTCCAGCCTTTGAATACGTTCTACTAATGTGCCTTTTGCCTCTGCTTCTAACAAAACGGTCTTCGCTGGCCGACATCGCCTCTCTAAGCTTGAAGGAGTGCTAGGAGAACTAAATATCGAAGACGGTGACGTTGGCGACCGCAAATCTACAGCGAGGCCCTTTGGATTGTAATCCTGCTCCAGAACAGCCATCTGGCAAGATATCAAGATCTTTGTCACGTGAAAAACTTCATAACGAAATAGAAGGCTGTTTGAAGTGGCAGAGAAAATCGTCACAACTACAAACTACCAAACGGTTAACCTACCTTGCTGTCTTTAACAAATTCACAGCTACATGATTTTCGAAGGGATCAGTTCCACATGCTTGCAAGACATCCACTGCCCCAAAATTGGTCTGAACCCTGAACATCAACGTTTGTGTAAAAATGTATAAACTCACGACCAGAAAATTGAGACAATGAGGATGAAAGATGATATTACATGTTGCTCTAACTGGTGAAGGCGCTCCAACAAGGGAATTCCCATGGCTTCAGCGTACACAGACTCTTGCTTTGTTCTGTCGACGCCCTCGTTTCCCACATAAATCTGTTTACAAGTGACACCAAAGCTGACTTGCAATTAGTACTCAGGTTAGCTTGATTCGTCGAAAAATTGGCATGACAAAGGGAGAAAAGGAATTGAGATTTGACTGTGTTTCCACCATCCTCTCCTCCTCAGTTGGATTAATCACAAGCTGAAGTCTCCGGGACAACTATGTGTTGAAGAATCAAGCATCACAGAATCTGCGAGCGCTCGAGGGTTGATGTATTTGTAAAGCCAGGGAGCAAAAAGAAAGAAACATGACGAATGCCTTAGAATCATCGGAGGGCAAGTTGTGCAAGATAGCTCTGGGTTTGTAGCTATTTAGAAACATGTGAGAAATATGATGCTGCCCCATAGCCAGTTCATAGTGCTTGCGTTCCAACAAATAATTCATACTGATGTAAAGCCATGCGTCCAAATAGAAGGTAATCTCTAATAATCTCTGAGGATAGTTCTTATCCTCAAAGAAATCCATGATTAATTTGGCAAGAAATCAAACTTCAATTTCAGATCCAGCACATACCCTTCTTTTCCTCGATCGGGGAGATAATTCACTTCCAGTATCAATCCTACCATAAACAGTCGCCATTCAGTCAATCACGGAAGAAGCCTCCGAAGAGTGGCGTGAAAGGTCAAGATATCCGTGTTGTCAGAAGAAATTAATATCGCCTCATGTTTATGTCGGTACAAACATATTTGCTCAAAAAAATCCTCCAACACAAAGAAGCAGACTAAGATGGCTGCGCACATGGTTATTGAACCATGCTCTTTCGTGAATCCAAATGGACGGCTTCGATTTTTCAACCCCTAACACTATGCACTGTTTCTCTTCAATTCCTCAAACCTTCACATCTATATCTGCAGCCAACTAAAGACGCCAGCGTCTTGTCTCCAGTGCACCCGGCCATTTGGCAGTCCAACGTACATCTTGGGACAAACTCGGCTTCGACATGCACGAGGCCTTCGTTGAATACTTACAATATAATCGCCATTTCCTCACAAGAGACACATAAAGGTTCGAAATCTGCTCCTCCAACTAATGAAAACTACATCGGTGTAAAGTAGCGATGTCTCGCGACTGCAAGCTCAAACAGGACATGGCCCTGTGTCACCGCGATGATCAGGTTATAAAAGGTTGTCATCATGACTACTTCTTTGCTTATCTTCGCGATTTCAAAAATCAATTCCAACACGTTTAGACGAGAAGATCCCCCCACCCCACACCACATTGCCAACGCACAGTGAAATGCTAGGTCGGTCCAAAAGCGAGAGCCTCATGCAGCCAGCAACCAGGCCCGCCTGTACTGGGAAAGCTAAAGCGGGACCACAATTCTCAGTCCACCTTAAGTCTAGGCGCATCACCGGATCCCAGGGAACCAAGCTAGCAATAGACTCAACAACATAGCCTCTACCAGGTCCTCTAATTCTTACCTTAAAGAGAGTTTCTCGAAGTTTTTTGTAAAAAGAATCGATCAAAATTCAAACCATTCCATCCTGAAGCTCAATACAATCGATATTCTCTTTTCATCAATTTCACATTGGCATATTGAGCTTGAGATTGATTACCGCAGTCCACGATGGCGTGCACACCAGTAAAATTTCGTGGTCGCAATTGACTACTGACAGATGGTAGAGTCGTCGTCGACGGCCGCCATCGTCCATGATATGAAAATCGTTGCTCTCAGTGGCGAAACTTGTGGACGTCGTCATGCACTGAATGATCGTTGTCGCATTTGCTCCTATTTCAGCGATGCAATTTATTTTGTCACCTGAGCCCACAAACAATGGTAAGAATCACTTCTACAGGTGGCTCCCACACGTTCCATGTGTTCGGCACGTAGGATCCCTTGCTTTCCACATTTCTGGGCCAACTGGACGACACTTTGCATGTGTGCCATTACTGATACAGTACTCCCTGAGGAACTGGTCTTGGGTTTCAAGGAATTTCTCTATGCATAGTAATGAGAGCAATGTGGTCCTTAGGAATGCCAGAAAAGGCATCTCAAGTTGGATGTTGGATGTAGACGAAGAGAATACATTGCTGAGAGCTGATGCTTTCAGACGGCTACAGAAGGCTGAGCACGCCACCAAGTCTACTCATGAAGATTAACTTCTCGAATTGTCACTCGATGTGAACAGTAATATTATATAACTCTCTGACATGGGCATGCTCTCAAGAAGACAAAGATAGCAAGACGGGACACTAGCATGAGCTGTTCTGACTGAAATGACGTAGGAAGGGAGATGGTGCCAGCGGATGGGAACTGTTGAAGCAAGGAGTTCAACTCTTTCAGCGATGATCGGCTGGACATGGCTCCGTCGCTCAACAAGAAATCTGGGAGTGCAAACTTGTGAGGACATCTAACGGAACGCTTCTTCAATTTTGGTATACTGTGTGTGGCCAATTCAAAACCCCTTCAAAACATCTGAAATTTAGAGCACTGGTGGAGAGTCTGGGCAACCTCAAAAAAAGAAAAAGAAAAAGAAAAAAAGTGTAGGATTTAAGATACAGATTCAAATCTTTAGATGCAACAAATTAAAGACATCTTCAACAACTTCGAATGATGTGTAGTCAAAGTGCTGTCAGTGGCTTGACTGCTCTAATTTTCATCAAAACTTGTATACTGTGGCAAGTCTGAGTCCATGCCCGTCTCTCTCTTTCAACAGAAAGAACTGGCATCATGAAGTAGCTCGAACTCACCTGTGAGATCTCTCACTTCACACCACGACATCTCTAGTGCACGATGTACACTAAGCAAGACTTCAACGCCACCAGTGCTCCGACAGCAAATTTCTTGATTAATTCCTCTCTTCGAACGCGATGAAAACAGATTGTTGACGAAATTTGAGTAATTTTGAAACCACTAAAAAGTTTCCGAATCGGAACGGAGGATAATTACATATCCGTTTCAGTCGCGCTAGCTCTCTCAAAATCGTTGTCAATGATGCAATTACCGCATTGTTTGTAGTAGGCTTAACTGTTGGCACTTGTTTAGTTTTAGAGGAGCTTGTCGATACCAGCAGATACCGAATGAGGACAAACGGTAGTTTAGGACGGGATTCCGAGAGGTCCAAGGAATCATGATCTGCCCATTGTTTTAGTCATCGTATGGTGCGTAAGTTCCTGAATAATCTTGTCTGTTGAAGCTGTAAATTCTGGAATTGTTATTTGACCTGAACATGGTGCTCAGGAGAAGACAATGTTAACCATGTGGTCCAGGGCATGGTGGATTGTGGAGCGCTACACCAGCATCATTTCCTGAAAGGGATGAATAGTATCATTTGTTGGACAAGAGTAACCCAGATACTGGATTAAATAGGTTAAAATGGTGAAAAGGTTCCTGCGAAGGCTGACGTGGATATACTCTTCGAGCCTATAATAGTATTCATTCAGTTTTAGATCAGACGCAGTCAGACAACTGGATGCGCAGGTGCCAAGGTGAAAGTGGAATGCAACAATCAGAGGAAAAAATGGAGTGGTTGGCATGACCAATACAACCATGCATATATGCATATATTTCCAGGACTACGAATTTCGTGGCGTTAGGCAGCAATGGATATCAAGCGAAAATCGTATCAAGCCTGCACACCACTTGCGCCACACCTACCAATGTGAGTGGAGGCTTGGCCGAAACAAATCTCGTTTTCAAAGAGAAGTCCGAAGATGAAATGAACCTGATAGTGGGGCCCTCCGCACGCGAGCAATCTGCGAAGAAGGCTACTCGTGCAGTATTTTAGAAGAACCTAAAGAAAAGCGTCGAAACAAAGGATTCAAGTAGCCCTTCCCTCCCTGCTGTGTCAGGATTGTGGTACTCTCCTTCCAAAAACCAACACGGCACGTCTCCTCCTTACTGAGAATTGTGATGACCGCCATAAGCTTCGTGAACACGGTCATGGATCTACATATGAAGGCGATTGGAGGCCTACAAGTGAGCGTCCTAACTGTAAAGCTCATGACGAGATTCCTCACCCAAGAGGAAGGCTTACACTATAAGAACCACTCCCCACCCTATTTTTATTAGTCTCCTCCACCTGCATATCACAGTGTATATCATGACATCCCTTCTCCTCATCAATCTTTGCCCTTGGAATCCCCTCCCTGCAGCAACACAAGGGAAATCCATCTCTTCGTCACTATTCATTCTCTCCTCGAGTTGCGTATCATCACCAATCTAGTCTGTACACCTCCTACTTCTATCCCGCCCTCTACGCCACTAAAATCATAAGCACAAGTCCCCTACACCTCACTATCACGATTACAAAGCACCCTCAAAGCAGTGTTGCCCTCCTATTTATCAAAATATCAATGCTGACACTGCAGCAAAAGCAGCACCACCTCAGCTCAATGACAGTCCACCGCAGGGACTCTGCAATCATATCAAAACTTAGATATCGAATGCTGTGTAAACTAGTACAGCAAACTTAGTGTCCAAGTATGTGGATGCATATATAGAAAAAAAACAAAAACACACACTCTCGCGCGCACGTGCGTACACACTCAAACATGTCTACAGCTTGAGACACACTTATACCTTGCAGTGTGGTCGTTTATATAGAAAATCGGAGGCAATCAGGACTTTTCAGCTTCGTCCTGCATCCGAATCTGGACCTGGATGTAAATGATTAGAGAAAAGATGCCAGCGAGATTCTAAAAGCTTTGTATAATATTTGTATAAATGTTAAATAAATGATGCAATATTTTATTCAAAAGAATCACGATACCCCATAGAAAAAGGTTTATTTTCAATCTGTTTGTTGATTGAAGCGAAGGAAATCTAAGATTCAATACAACTATCCTTCAGATACATGCCGGACACACAGAATACGAATCTGATTTAAATAGACGAACAGTTTCAAATTCTGGGCAACGATTTCAAAACCGAGGTAATAAAGCTGCACAAACCAATCGGGGTCCATGTATTCAAAAGGAACCGCGAACCTATACAAGGTGTTCTATTTTAAACGAGTACCTCCGATTGTGAAAGTACATGTGAAGATTCGAAACCAGATTTACGACTCTCTAGCATCGGATTTCAATCGTCTAACTTGACAAAAGCACACAATTCCCCTGAACAACATCACCTACGCACAATCAGCTGGCACCTAGCAAAGTGGGCTCCATGGATTGAGTTGAATACACACCTGACTTCGTCAACGGCACCTTTGTTACTCTACACAACTCGGCATAATCGTTGTTCTAATAACAGAAACCGTTCCACAGCTCTTCATCATATGCATGAAATCTTAACACTCCACAGGACAAACGAAACAGAGCACGAGGCCCTCATCAGTACCAAGGATTCTTCTGTTACTGTACTTCCATCTTCAACGGGTTCAGTTTGAAATTCTGCTCCATCGAATCCCGTAAATAACGAATTGTCACTCTTCATCCGCACACGCATTTCCTCCTTTCAGCTTCGTCAAACTGCGAAAGCATTTAACACCTTCAGTCTTGTTGAGACTAAGCCGGCAAGCATGAATCTCAACGTGAGAACACGAATCGGCATTGCTCTGCTTTAGTTACGAATTTTTTTGTGATGCGGCAACTTATAACGTTGAGAAATTGGCTTTGGTACGCTGTCCATACGGCGCCACGAATCGTCCGGTGTCTGATATGACGGATTTCAATGGTGATGCGGTGTGAATAGAGATGTTTCTAGTACTAATATTGTGCATAACCAATATGAACACAATATAGGGATGACATGGTCTCCTGAAAACATACATTTATATGATTGTATCTCAAAAGTAATTAAATATGGGTACAATCCTATCTAAAAGTATTTAAAAGTATGTGAGCTACGATAACCTTTAAATGGTTAAAACACACACACACACACACACACACATATATATATATATATATATATACATACATACATATTAAATCAATTGAGTTTTAGAATTTTATTTACAAATTTTCAAAAAAGAATACTCATTGTTTTACTGTATGACATCTTAAAACTAATATATAAAGTGATTTGAATATTCGAAAAAAAGTTATGAGATTTATACAAGACATATAGATGAAAAAAGAAATTTATTATAAATATAACCATATACTCTAATTTCCAAAATTTTAAAAATGTAATATATATATATATATATATATATATACATACATATCCTTTGAAGCGTTAAGTCAAACTATTTGCTGATTAAAAGAGAGAAAAGCGATACTGTAAATGAAACTAAGATGAAGTTTAATAGTATTAAAACTTTAAGATCTATTTTACGCATGTGGTTTTGCACAATCCAATCATATGTGACAAACGCAATGTTTTCCTCTATCACGAAGCAATTTGAGGTCAAGCTGAATCCAATAACTGTATTGAAATCTGAGTAATGGGAAAAGAAGGGGAGGTTTATCACTGCACCTTCATGCAGCTACTTGGCTTAGTACAAAACATGGATTGACCAGGTGTCTTTAAGCTTGTAATCTATTCGGCTGAGTTTAAGTGTTTATTGTTGAAGCATCAGCAATAGTCTCTACAGAATAGAGATGGACTTCACGATCTATGATTGTATCAAATTATCAACCATGCAAGTTCGAATTTTCATGCCATGCAATACGTGAGTAAATGACGCAGAAACCGTAGCCTGAGGTTTGAGTCCCATTTTCAGTGACCAAAGCAGGGATGGCGACAGAGTGCAACATCTCCACTGCTGATGAAAACATAACAGCGTTTGCTGTTGGTCAAGACGTGTTCTCATGAGTACGTAACATCTCTGATACAAAGGTATCAATGCTGGCTATGCGATATCAACAAGCTAACTTGAGGTGTACACATGAGAAACATACGGTTGAATGGCTGGTTAGGGCCTTTTTCATTAGAGTCGAAAGTCTGAGGGAGGATTCGGTCGGGAACCGCGTGAAGGTCTCAGGTTTTCTGGAATACCAGATCTCTGTCTTTTATTCGACTCCCCAATAGGCATGAGTGGGCTGCTAAAAAAGATGGAGATGGAACCACTTGTTTGCGAGTTTCTTTTCTGTCGAGAATTGCTAGCAAGTCTTTGAGCAGGGTGCAAACCAACAGATGAATTCGGTGTGAAAAACGGGTCCCCCTCTCGACGTGCAAGGTCTGCGTCCGATGCCGATGACGGTGACAACGATGGAGCTCTTCTGATTTGATGCCCAGATACTACCGAGGTGCTTATTCCTCGACCCTTGAACTGGATAGCCCTTAATGGAGAGCTTTCTGATCTATATCGACTAACTTGTCTACCCCCAAAACTGGATCCACTTTTAGAACCTGCAAAAGGGAGCTGGGTGTTTCTGTTGAAGAACTTCTTTCCCTTCCTTGGTTGTCCCATGTCATCTGTGGTCTCTCCCGCAGAAGCATCGTAACCATCACTGAGAGTGGATCCTATAGGCCGAGAAAGGTTGGAGTGTGCGACTTTGACAGCTCTACTGCCAGAAGGATCCTCAGTATTGAACACAGTTGGCAACTGCGAGACTGTACTTACCGCGTGTCGATCAGTAGGAGAAGACTTGGATGATGAATCAAGTCCCGTAGAAGCCACATCAGTTAATATTTGGCTGCCTGAGCTTTTCATATCCACTCCCAAGTTCTTTTCCCACGATGCGAGAATGTCTGGCTCTCTGCCCGTGCGTATCCGTGGAAGTTCCGACTTATATGGAGATAAGGACATAAAGCCTTTGCTATCTTCAGCCTTTCTCTGTGGTGCAAGTCGAATACCAAGTTCACTGCTTAATATACTACGTTCACTGCTGTTACTGCTGGAGCTACAATCTGACACTGCCAGCCCTTTCATAACAGGATTCGGAACCGTTCGTAAGACAGATGAAGCTTTTCTCGCATTGGCTGCTGCCCGTGCAGCCTGCTCTTTGTTCAGCTTCGCAAGTCTCCAAGCACTGATCCTCACATTCTCAGGCTTGCCCTTTTGCGAAATATTCGGCTGTTCAAGGTGCAAAGTTGTGCCAGATACTGGAGGTGGAATCATTTCGTCCTGTAAACAATCGAGACTTAATTAAACACGTTTCTCATTAAGAAAGGCACTCTAAATTTCTCATTGGTTATTTCCAAGGTTCAAAATTAAACTTTCCTAACTGTTCTACTACATTAAAACGTCCTCGTAAATAGCATCATTTCAACCAACAAACCAAGACAGGGCAACTTCAGAGAACAAACTTTTAATAAACCATTTACCTGACGCTCTACAAATATGCGCGGGGACGTACACCAACCACCCTGCTGTTGAAGTCCTAATGACCTTGGTATAGGGAGTTCTAGTGAGCTTGTTCTGCTCATATCAGGAACTGTTGAGTTGCTGGTAGATGAGGTTACCTCATCTTCAACTAGTGGCCCTTCCGGTTGTGCTCGCATGGCGACCACATACTCGTATGTAGTAATGCCCTGATAGAATATCAAATAAATCTTAGGAAAATATACAGCCTCATTCATGAAGTTCTTTAAGAGCGGAAGAGAGATGACCATTCCAGTAAACTTCATACTTAAGAGCTCTAATTCATTGAATCAACCAACGCTGGAAAAAAGAATGCATTACCTGTAAATCATCATACTAGACTTTTGTTATATGGATACTTCACCCTATGATAAGTCATATTCAAGGATATACAAACTGGAACCGTCAAAATGAAAACTAGCAACCTAAATTACCTTCTTAATGAGGATGAGGTGAAAAAAGAAGAGTTCACCCAAAGGAATACACGCCAACAAGGCCACTCCAGTGCATACAGCCTGCATCCAAATACATAGGGGTCTCAATTACCTCGAACACATGTAAAATTCTCTTCCTTGAACATTCGAATTGCGGCAGTAAAATAAAATACAAAGGTACAGAAGTTCTTGTAGAACCGATAGAAATGTATTTAGCTAAATAGCATTTAGGATCAAAGCATTTTACCAAGGGATGTGTTGTGTTGACTGCAATGCGTCTGTAGTTCTCATGGTTTAGAAGCACATTCACATTGAACAGACAGTAATACTTGAGCTACGAGCGTGAAAAAGTTCAACTGCAACTCCTTGAAAATATACAACTTTTATGGTAACCAACATTGACATGGTTAATTCTCCTATTTGAACCCAAACTAAAAACAACCATGCATAGAGAATATACCACTACAGAGGCAAACGGGGCCCTTGTAAATCCGTTCCCAAGTTTCTCCATTATTTGACCCTCAATATTTCGCCTATCCACAAAGCAGCGCACAAGCACTGCTGTTCCAACTATCCCGTGCACAATAAGCTGCACACATATTTTTCAAAAATTGACTCAGTTTTTAAAAATTAAAATCAAAAAATAAATAAGACAAAATAAAAATTTATGAGAGGAATTTCAAACCTCCTCTTAAGAACAGAACGATGAATGTTATGCACTAATTTGCAATAAAAAGAACTATTACGGGAGGTATAAAAATATGCCCTTCCATGTTGGAGCGTGCTTCAAACAGATTAAGCACACTAAAAGCACAAATATTTACCAGCGTCAAGGTGGTGGACATCAGCGCCACAAACGTCTTGTAGTTATTCTTCCCAATGCAATTATTTAACCACTACACAATCAAACAGAAAAATACATTGAATTTCCATCCCAAAATAGAAGACTAGAGTACATCAAACAATTATCCAATCGATCAAAAGATGTACAGCCAGATTTCAACATTATGTGGAAATTTCTGGGTACTAACAATCTGTACAACTCAGAATTATGTTGCACCTTAAAAAGCTAAGGTTTCAGTCATTCCAGCTACGTGTGCATTAAAACTGGAACTTACTCGACAATGATGATCGAAACCAGCCACGCACTTGTCGCAGCTTCGACAATGTTTGCTAAACTTGTGCACCTGTCAAACACATTTTCTCACTGAAATCAAACGCCAGTCTTATACAGAGTAGCCAGCACTACGCCAAGCCCTGTAATTGGGGGTATTGTAACCTAGTTTCATTCCCCTTCGCTATAATATATCTTCATGAAACATCAAATTTCCCGCTCAAGATGCTTGTCTTGAGCACAACACCCGTCTCGACCTTCAACAGGTCCATCGTATCAAAGTACGCTAATCACTTTTAAATTAAAGCTGAGATGTTGTATAAAAGATTATTTTAAAAACTCGATACTAGTAGCTCCTCAACTACGCTCGAATTTACCAACATTTCAATGTGCAAAGTTTACACGTCCTACAATCTATTCCACAAGCCGTTCAACAAGTTTGAAAATCAAAAACTTACCTCAGCTTTACATAGTGTGCAAATTAATATCTCGTTTTCCGCTTCAGGCTGTTGCGAGTCAGAGGATCTACAACAGTCATCAGAAGCAAGCATCCAACCAAATAGCAGACCACAGAGACCGGCACAGCTGCACTTCCTTGGCGACCTGTGCGTCTGCGCCTCTCCTTCTTCCATGGAGACATCCTTATGTTCGTTTTCTTTCACGGATGGGGCCATAGATGGAGGGTTCGATGTGTGGAGGGAAGAGCCATTACCGGAAGGTTCTGGAACAATTTCCAACGACTCCGGTGTATCCTTAACATATTGCTTTCTGTGCTTTTGGCTGATAATTACGCCAGGATCAGCAGGATCAATTGCTGTACATCGAACGTACAACACAAACACTACAAAAGCCTGCGAACAAACATGGCCAGTGTAAGTCCCCCGTAGGATGGACATTCAATAGAAGTAAGAAAATAAATGGATTATACTATTAGGTACACTACATTACTGACCTACTTAATCGCAAAAACGTGGCAGTAACTTACTTATTGACCTAGTATATGGTTAGATGCAAAAAAGACGCGATCCTAAAAGCACCATGTCGGAGCATTAGGCAGCTTAATAAATCCACATTAGCTTATTCAGTGACTGCAATAAACGATACTGAGTCGAAAGCAGCAGCCTCAGCGTGCGCAACATGAGATAGTGAAAACCTTACCAAAGGAGAGTAAACTGCATAAGCAGCAATTACTAACCCATTTAACCATAAAAATGGGGCTATAAATATATAGTAGGCGATAGCAAGAAGAAAGTAGAGCGTGATTGCCGCCACCTGAGATCCACAAATTAAGACAGGATAAGAATTTGAAATGACAGGACTAAAGTAAACACGAGTGCCTTTCCTCACCTGAGCAATTTCCAAAATTCAGATTTTTATCACTCAATTGTGGTTCTAGAGTGGTTTGTGAATCTTGATTTCAGTACTGCAAGTGCAGAGAGAGACTACAAACAATACATTCAGCAATACATTCAGCAATTCAGTTCACTGTGCTTCACGAAAATAAAATTGCTTCACTCAGTGTAATTGCGCCCATAAAGTTGCTTGTACCTAAGTGAAACTGCGCAATTACACTGAAACTTAATATTCACCTATGCTAGAGCTGCTACGTTTACTAGCCTCTAACTTCAATGGAGAAACAACCCCGAAGAGAACAGGCAGCTATGGGAATTCACAGAGACAAGGTGAAGTTGAGAACAGAATAATTTCCTTAAAATAAAATAAGTACTACTTTCATGCTACATCAATGTGCTCAAGCAACACGAGAGTACCTGAAGAGAGTGAGCAGGAAGCTGCCAGCCATGGCGTCGCACCATGACTATAGACGAGGAAAGCGCGTGCTGTGCATGCACGCGACCCCAATCCCACAATCATTCAAAGAAAATCTCACACTTCATGAGGAATAAATGCTACATCCGAAAACGCTCTTTCTCTTCCAAGAATTCCTATGCACGGTAGTTCCTGCTACCGCTATACATGGTAACTAGAGAATTGTGGGAGGGCTTCCGCAATCCCGAATGCAAAGGTTGGCCTGTCTGATAATATCGTGTACAAGCCGATGATTTCAGCCCCGTCTAAATTAAAGACCCTATCACATCTCCACTGGCACGACTCCTCCATCGCCTTGTTGACGCTCTAATTCTTCGAACTCCTGCAATCTCTAACTCTGCAGTATCGTCTCAGTGCCGTTGATTGGTCCGAAACACTCTCCACAACATGATATCGCTGGCGACTACCACTCCGGCAAAACCCTTCACTCCTTTGCACATCTCGCTCTCTCCGTCTCCCTTACACACACTCACAAACACGATCACGTCACATGGAAATAATGATAATTTTAATAAAAATCACCACCCGAACTAATCACTTCACTGCTTACCCCACCGCTCCAACGATGCTTCCTGGAAATGCTTTAAAACCTCAACTTCTGCGACACCCATTTGAGCTGAGTATCTTGCTACTCTCTCTATCAACAGCAGCTCCCAAACAACTGTTTCTTCTATTCATTCTTGATGTATGGCCGCAACTAAGGACCAATCGACTCATCCCACGCTCAAGTAATTGTGCATCACTTGGCCACTTCTACAAAAAAAAAAAAAAAAAAAAAAAAGAAAAAGAAAAAAAAAAAAAAAACAGAAGCTTCGCCTCATCACGGCTATCCAAAGCTCCCCGCACCTTCCCCTCAGACCATGACCTACACTATACTCCCGCTATGAAGTTCAAGCACCCGCACGCGCAGCAGCAGCTGTGGCGCTGCACAATCCCAAATCCTGCACTCTCACCTGGGCCGCGTGCCATGTGTGATGTGAGAGTGAGGGCAGATTCTGTCGCCCATCTCGATGCAACATGAGAAAAACACAAACCGAAAAGTCGTTCCCAACATGACTACAAAGTCTCTCAGAATCCAATTGTAAGATGTGGGTCTTCGGTCTACCCTACGCTAGGTCTCATAAGATCCACCATCTCCACAATCAGTCCAAATCCGGGACACATAACAACAACAACAACAACACAAGGAGGTGCTCTTCGCTGGATGTGAGAGAGAGGTTGCTGTTCATCAAGCAGGGGATCCGCAATCAATTAGCCTCCGCACTCTGATTGACACACGCGAACCTTTTTAAGACTTTCTTTTGGGGAGATTCTATTTAATATTACTTTAAGAAAAGCGAAAGATCGGGGATTAATGTCTGGTACACTATGTCTAGGATCCAATTTGCATGATGTCGTTTCTTAAAATAATTGGAGCCCAAACGGGAACTTAATTAATGGCAGTCGTCGGAGTAGTAGTAGTAGAATAGAGGGGGATGATCACCGATGCATGGACGTGACAATAGACTTGGTCCTTTGACGGAAATTTCATCGCCCCTGCCCGTTTTGTAGCTGCCCGGTTCTGGCTGTCCGTTTGTATCTGCCCGGGTTATAGCTGCCCCTTGTGCACTGTGCATCAGGTGGAAGGTCCTACGTTCATTCACTATATTTTTCATTCATCCCCTCTGCGGAACCGTTCCAACTCAGAATCTCCCTTTCGGCAATTCCATTCTCCTGGCAAAGACTTTCTCGGCCCCTTGCATATTTTACTGCCTTTTTCCCATCATACCTGATCAATCACTGCCTCACACATTTTCTTCATGTGTATATTTGACACAAAAAAGTGGTTGTACAGTTGGGGGAGGGGGGGGGGGAGGGGATGGAAATGAGATTGGCAAGTAGGGTTTCTAAGTTGTGGATGGTTGTGGGAGAAGGAATTCATTCTACTGAAAACGACTTGTTACTGTACAAATTTTTTTGGAATATTCACTTTATTTTTGTTCACAGTGATGGGTGATGGTGGCGCATGAGGTCATTATAGGGGAAGTCTTTGGGATAGTGATTCAAATAAGGTTTTGCCAATATTGACAAGAAAAGGACTTTAAATGCTTCAATTCCTATGCCCATACCATCTTTTTAGGTAAGAAAATTATAATATTGATTAGAAAAGAAATGATCTTGACTCTTAAAAAATATTGCGAATTATATACCTTGTATTAAGCCAATTACTTTCTCTTGAAAGTAAGTTTGTACAACATTATATACATAACCAAGTCTTTGATAATGAGATGTTGGCAAAATTTATTTATATATTTATTTTTAATATTTAGCATGAGAGTATATATGTATATATATATATATATATATATATATATAAAACATGTATTATTATAAAATAAAAGTAGGTTATATGTATTGGAATATATGAAAAGAAGATTATTTATCATTTTATTCACATTTTAAATTATTCATTATTTTAAAGTTTTTAAAATAAAATAAAAATATTATTAATCTTAGAATTAAATTAAAATTTTTAAGTAAATATTTCTATTTTTTAAAAATAAACATAAAATTATATATCTACATAGAATTCTTGTAAAAAAATAAATAAAATATTTTGATGTAATTATATATATATATATATATATATATAATTTAAATACTAAAAAATTATAAATTATTTTAGCTTTTATTCTTATTTTATCTTTTCTTTAAATAAAGTCATTATATTATCTATAATTCAAGTGACTATATTGTATTTGATTTATTAACTATTATAGTTGTAAAAAAATTAAAATACTAAGAGTAAAATAAAATATATTATTGAATGTTAAATTTTGGATTTCTTATGATAAATTAATAGATTATTTCTATTTAAACTTTAATATAGCTATATAATTAAGATATTACTATTCTAACATAGTTTTAAAATTAAGTGTATTATCTTCATACCTTATACTTATTCATATATTAAAAATAATCTTTATTGTTAATCTTATATATGTTAATCTTTAAATGTAACTTAGTTTTAATTTTTATTTTTTATAGATTTTTAAGACATATATCAAAATCTTTATTTATATCAAAAAATATTTATATTAGTTTTTATATTACAGAAGTCTTGTATAAAGGCTACAAAATTGCATCTACTTTAAAAAGTGATATATGTATATATATATATATATATATATTTATGATTATTTATATTTAAAAACTATTTATTTCTGTTAATTTCAATAAAATAAATAATTTTATTCATTATTAATTTTTTCAATAATTATATATTATATACATAAATATATCTATATATTTTTTAAAAATTCATATATATATATATATTAAAGATAAACCACATTTATATAAATCATTAGAATACCATAGACAATCAAATTATTATGTTAATTTTAAAAGCTTCTATTTAAATATATATTTTTTGTAGAAAATTATAAAAATCAAACTAAAAATCTTAAATTCTAAGACATTATTTTAGAACTACAAATATTTTTGTATGTTTGTATTATTTTGTGCAATAAAGTAGCTGGAAATATATATATTTTAATTATAATTATTGATTATACTAATATCTAGATTAATAAGAATTAAAGCATTAAATAATGAATTCACATAATTAAAGATGTGATAATATAATCCAGAATGGGATCTAGGAACATCTTTGCAAAGATTGGACTCTCTCATGAATTGCTCAATTTATCTTAGCTTGTACAAGTATCTGGTTTATTAACAATTCACCTTCACAATCTTTCTACATAACACACTAAATTTTATAGAGATAAAAATACAATATAATATAAAATTTTCATAAAAAGAGTTTTATCAATTTACATAATTATGCAAAAAAAATATATAAGAATCGATGGAATTCTAATTTACTTTGAGGCATCAATGTCAAGGACAAGAACTCGATGAAAAAGTAATTCAGACAAGTGAGCTTTCACTCAAAAAAAGATAACAAAATATAAATAAACAAGTATGTATATTGAAAGAGAAACTGGAATGGCTATTGCCAAAAGACAAAAAAATTAGAGACCCTTGAAACTAGACTGGAAGCAAGAAAGGAGTTGACAAGAGTGAAGAAGGCTTCACTCTTGTCTCTATATATACTATCTAACTAGAAGCTACGTGGCAACGTTCTATAGGACCTCTAATATGTGTTGACTTTGTAGGACACATGCCTTGACTTACAAGGCAAGTTTTTCTACGTGTGGGCCACATAGTTAGCTTGGTCTTCAAGCTAATAACATGTGTGGTACATGGCCAACTTGTTGACCACGTTTCTAATCCAAAAAGTCAATTAAAGATACCTATGAAGTCAAAGCAGCATCTATGAAGCTTCTACAAAGCTTTCATATCAAATACTATAGAATTAACTTACTTTTACCTACCCTTACTTACTTCTACATATTTGTATATGTAATTATGAGTATGTCCGTGACATTGCCCCCCCTTCTAGGGACGAGTTCCAAGAGGAGCCATCATCATATATTGAGGAAATCTATGATGCGATGAATTGTATTCGCCACATACTCTCATCTTTGTTCTCTTCGAAGATGAATGATAGCACCTCTCAACCATCGGTAGTATCCCATACCAAGGCGAGAAGACCACCCAGATATTTGATCGTTGTTGAGGCCTTCATAACTTCCTTTAAATAGAACATTTGGAACACCATCACGAGTTGTTCCTACCTCTAGCAAAATCACCAAACATCGAGAGTCCCTTTCTAAGTCGTGATACCAAACGCATTGTATCTCGCCATCTATTTGAGGAAGAACATGTCATTCTTGAAGATCTTCATCCTGATTGCATCATCTTAAAGGTTGTGATAATTGTAATGTCTCATCCCGCAGGTCAGCAAATAAAGGCTCTTAAGTCGAATCCGCTGGTTGTTAGTTTTCCATCTCCTAAGCGTCACAACTACAAAGTAGCTACAAACAAGGATTTAAAATAGAATGTTAACTTGCCTAGATGTTGTTTTTTTTATAAAGAAGGTTTTCATCTTGATTTTGATGGATGTCGTTGATGAAAAGCCTCCACTGCCTTTGCTGTATTTGCAAGATTCTTTATTGGCTCCCATGCACATTGACTAATATCATATCCACGCCAATGGACAAGATATTCCAATTTATTTCGGTGCCGCCTTGAATCTAAAACTTCTTCTACTTCAAATTCTTTATTATTGTCCACTTCTATAGGAGGAGGTGGAGCTTGTCGTCTTCTTGGTATGTCCACTGTCTTGTATGGTTCAAAAAGAGACATGTTGAATACGAGATGGATTTTCATTGACTCTGGTAGATATAAATAATATGCAACAGGATTGATTTGTACAGAAATAGAAAATGGTCCCAGCCTTCAATAGTCCAACTTGTCATAAGGATAAGTGATCTTAATATTGCGACAAAGTAGCTATACCTTATCATCTAAGTAGAATGGTGGTTGTTCCTTTTGATAGACATTAGCATTGATCTTTTGTTGTTCTTGAGCCTCTTTTAACTGCACCTTCATCGTTGCATGTAGCTCTGACAAATGAATCGCCAAATCTTTTGTAGCAGGATTATCAACTTTTGAAAAGTCAAAAGTATCAAGTCGTGGATGATAACCATAATTAGCAAAGAAAGGTGTTTGTTTTGTAGAAGAATGTATTATATTATTGTAAATAAACTCTGCCAATGGTAAAATAGTTGTCCAATCATCTTGTTGATAGTTGATGGTACATCTTAAATATTACTCCAAAACTTAATTAACATGCTTTGTTTGTCCATGAGTTTGAGGATGGAATGTCGAAGATAGTTTTATATCTACTTTTAGAATCTTGAAAAGAGTTTGCCAAAATCTTGATACAAATTGAATTCCCCTATCTGATATAATATCTTTGGGTAATCCATAATAGTTATAGATATTGTTAAGAAAGAGCTTAGTTGTTTCTTCATCTGTGATAGATTTTGTACATGGTACAAAATGTGCTATCTTGGTAAAACGATCTACTATTATGAATATAGAGTCATAAAAACTTGAGATTAGAAGATCTGTGATGAAGTCCATAGAAACAGAAGACCATGGTTGTTCTGAAATGGATAATGGCAGTAGAAGTCCAAAAGGTCGATGACGAGGAGTTTTTGATCTTGAGCAAACATCACATAATTGTACAAAATCTTTGACTGCCTTTTATATTGGAGGCCACCAAAATTTCTTAGATATCAGTCCCAAAGTCTTATTGTATCCATAATGTCCTGCTGCTAGGAAGTTGTGATGAGCTTGAAGAATTCGTAAATGTGTTTCTTCTT